TTAATTATTTTTACAGAAAGACATTTAAACACAAAACCTAAATAGTCTACACAAACAATTATCTTTTAACTAAATCCAAAAAAGTATGAGTATTACTGTGTTAGAACCAAAAGTTAATGTTTGATGATAAATCAACAAATATAGAAAATATCCTACCACTCTACTGAACCAATTAATAATAGAAACATTAATTTATAATCTCATATTCTATTCGAGAACAGCACACATAACTTAATATAGAATTGTCAGAGCATATTTCTAGTACAGTTCTGAAAAACAAATACACATGGTATGGATGTTGAATCGTTACATAAAATACATCACTGCTTTTTATTCATATGCAAATTGTGTTTACATGAATATGTTCTGCATGCACTTTGAATACACTTTGAGTAGATTCTTCTCTTTCAGGATTGCAGCCTGGATACTTATGATATTCTGGTACTATGAACAATGGAAAAAAATTCTGTTCATGTAACACCACCAAGTGATGCATTGTAATCTGGTCTTGTGTCACATTTGGGATATTGAAAAATATGGGGATGTACATTCACCATTAAAATTCAATTTAGAGTCCTACAGTTTAGAAATTCATTTAAATGTATTATAACACTACCAGGGGTATACAACAAATTTATATAACAATTTCATGAATTGCTGAATTTGAATTAATTCATTCAATATCCATATTCTGCCTCATTCAATATCTTACATAACATTTACACTTTATCATCTACTGGTAATTACATTGTATATTTAAACAATACTGCTACTGTTGGTCTGTCTGAAAATGACATATTAGCATGTAATTTACACCCAACACCACACTCAAATGTGTGATCCCACTGTAATGCAAATATTGCTAGGAGGGTAAATAGAGTCTGTTTACACCATTTGGAAAGCAGGCACAAAGCTGTTTATGTAATGGCAAATGTCAGAAAAACCTAATTACGTGCTAGTCTATAGCTAGTCAACATCAGCAAAATCAATAGAATTGATAGACATTTACATGTAAGATGCAATCATGGAGCTGAAACAAAGCTCTGCTGTGTACTAATTAAAAATAATCAGTCATCAGAACACAGTTATGTACATTTGATTTCAAAGACAAGGAAAATATGGAAATGCAGGTGGTAATAGACTATATTATTCACAGTAGGTGGTCGTTTGACTAGCTACTGGGTCTTTTCTACATCACTGAGAACATCTCAGGCAATGTATCTCAAATTGCTGAAATTCCCAGTGTTCCACAGATGTGAAATAATTTTTTGGCCATAGTTCAATTCTCACGCATTGTGTCATATTCATTGAAAGCATTCAAGGTTGCAAGTAGCCACATCAACATAAATTACAATCGTGCTTGGAATACACAAATGCCTAGACATGTAAATAGCATAACATATTGAAATGAATAGTTTTAACAGATATAATATCATATATTCTTTAGAAGTGATAAAGTTCACCTCTATCTCTGTACACACATGTAGACCATAATCACTAACCCATACATTAAAACAATTATTTTATTTGTAAATTTAATTCACAACTAAATCTCATCACCAATATTTGTTGCAAGCTAACATATTCAGAGTACATGTATTACAAAAATGTTGAACCACATATTTATATATGCTCACACACAGCAATATAATTACCAGACTTACAAGATGTTTCTCCATCCTAAATAACATACTTTAATCACATTTATCAACTGCAAGCCCAAATCAATGAAATGATAGTACACATTCATATATTTTCAATTGAAGTGTTGGACACAGCTAGGTCAAAGATTATCACTAGTTTATGATTCACAATAGACGGTCAACATTTTTCAGTTTACAGTCTACAGCAGATGTCACTCTATCCCATCACTGCATATATGGAGTACATTTTTCCAAATACAGTGGTATCCAAAACAGAAGCATTAACCTTGGCTTATACAGATCATTTGATTATGCATGGAACTTTTCTAAACAAATCAAATCATACAAACATTTGTAGAAGTTGTTTTTTCTATGGTCTATGATCCAATTACCTTGGCCTAGTTTATTAATTATTTGTTGCCAAAAAACCTGTAAACTGAATAATTTTCTCAGTACCACTGGTGTTTGGTTCTCACAAGATTCTACATTGGTATGTATTAATTCAATTCTATTTGTTCACGCTAGTGCCAAACACATTACAGCACTTATGCGATTTAGCACCCAAGCTTAACAAAATGCCACCCTTTATTGGAGGGGTATCTGTTTTCGGAGTCGCATTCGACTTGGCCCCTGCCCTTCTGAAATGCCCAAATTAAATTGTCGAGTTAAGAAACCCAGTTACCGGTATTGAAAGTGCTCCAGTCGTTACACAGCACATGTTCAAATTCTGTGTAAAAAACATGTAATTTACACACATTATGTACATCACTATGAGACTGGTATCAAACACAACACAGTGCAAACATAATTTTACTTTTCTGGCTGATTACAGTATCCACCATGACTGATGTGAATGGATAAACTATTATTTTTTTTTCAGCAAAATCAGTGGCAAAAGATTATATTAAATAAAAATAGAATTCATTTCTGCATTGTGTTGTAAAAAATGATATCGTCAATTTCCAGAAGTTTTCGAAAAATTTTGTCAGTACAACACAGTATTCCGATTTGGTCAAATCATGCAGAAAAACATTGAGGCGAGAATTGTTTTGCATTGAGTTTATGAATATCTCAATTTTGATTGTTTTCCCATAGACTCTAATCATTTTTACACCATACATTTTAGTGGTATGTAAATAGTATTTTTTTCAAATGAGTGTATTCATTTTGAACATTTTCGGTTCTTGTGGAAAACAATAACGACGACTCATTTTGCAATTTTATTTTCCTTACTATTTCCCTCGAATCAGGCACATTGTGAATGAAAATTGTCATAATTTTTGAAGGGGGTGCTCAACTAAACACCCACTCTCTAAAAAAGACGATTTTTGCATATAGCATTGTAAACATCACCCACATGATGCCATGGTGTTTTTCCAATGAATTAAAGAAACAAAACAAAAATCAAGTACCATCTCTTTCAAATTAAAATTTACCATAATAATGCTGGTTTGTAATAAGCACAGCTGTCTTTTTGTTCAGTGATAACTCAGCCTTCAAATACATTGATTTGAGGCAAAAATAATTACCTGTAATTCTACACTTTTGAATTTGGAAATGATATGCGACAAGTCCCAATATATTATAATAAATAATCTTGTATTTGATATGACATTATCCATTTTGACTGCATATACACTATAACATCTTGCACAGTATTTCAAAACCCAGAGAAAGTAGCAAGCAAGTAAAAATCAGTAATGTCTGACAACAGAATATAGGCCAGATTTTTACATTCCTTAGAATTTAAATAAATTTCCAAATGCTATCTGGTGTTCATCAATCATTGTTCTGTTAGCATAGATTACAAACCAACCCTGAATAATGCAATATGATATCATAGCACATGGGATATGGGATATGGTGAAAGATAAAGATGAATGCACAATCTGGTCAATGGTTGAATTCAAATTCAAAACTAATGGACAGGGATTGCATCATCATTGATTCATTGTATCATGATTCCCAACAAGAAGTTCAATATTAATTCTGTGTATTTTTGCTGTAATTTGTATCCTTTCCCCAATCAACTGTTTAGGTTTTTATTTTAAATACCCGGTATATATTTTTTTCTGTTATTTTTTCTTATAGAAAAATGGTCAAGCTCTTGTACTGTAAAAACTACTTGAACTTGACATTTGAGTGAACTTGATATGATATCAGATCAGTGCATGGTATGCAGCTACATATATTTGAACTTCGTCCATGTAAAGTACAGTTAAAGTGTGCTTAATGCTAAAAGAGCGCGTGGCATAAATACTGGGGTAAAAAAAGGTGTGGGGAAGGGTGCTTTATTTGCTTCAGCTTTTTACTTCAAAGTTACACATATTGAGCACTAAAAAGAGCATAGATAGACTAAACTATAGATCAGTGTGAGAGATCAATAAAATATTAGACGTCAAAAGACAAATAGGACTTATTTATTTAACGGTGGATCATTGAGAAAATGTCATATAACAGGTTTGCAAGTTAGCACAAAAATGGTACATAATATTAACAACATAAAAATAAATGTGAACATTCGCAAGCATGGTGGAATTCCTACTTATTTCATTTTGAAGCAATAGGTATGTGATCTCTAGTGACACGACAAGCTAAATTCCAAAAGGAGGAGTATTACTCAGGAATCATTTGGTGTAAAACATTTGATAACAAAAACAAATGAAAACTCCTATAGTCTGGCCCCAGGCTAGATAATCAGCAAGTCATGCCAATGCATTCACAAACAACTATTGCATAATAATTTAATGTATAGGAATAGCACTGCATAGTAACATTTCAGTATTCAATACATCAAATAATAAATGAAGAACATTAAATAGTATATGCTGTAAATTAGTGTCACCCCGACCCCCACCACCATGAAAGATGGGTTTTCACTAAATTTGGCCCAGGGAGTCCCCACCTATAATTAATATCTGCTACAAATTACATGTAATCATTGTGAAATTTTATTTTAAGCATAATATATCATATATCATTATCGTCAAATATTCAAAAGTTACCAAATAGATATTAAAATGACCAGTTTTAATTGACTTTAATAATATAATACAATTTTTAATACCCAATGTTTCGTTCTTTGTTTTATTATGAATAAATAGCAAACTATTCAGCTTCCACATAATAAAAATGAGTTAAAAATCAAATGGCATATACATTTAATATTCATCCCGACATTTCTCGACCGACACCCAGTTTCGTAGTGACGTCACAGAAATTGACTGATACGGGAAATTATGGGCGGAAATATCAACTAAATCATGGCTCGGGTAAATGTGTTTAGATAAAACAAATGCCTGTAACCGAGATGTCAACGTGATTAAGAAATGAAACTAGAAAAAAAAAACGACTTACCGATATAATAGAAAACACGCGAGACAATAAGATCCGATCAATACATACAAGCGTCGACCAGTTGGCCTCTACAGGCGCGGATCAGTTGTCCGTCTCGCCGGTACAACTAACTCGGCACTGGCAGTGTTGGAAACGCTACCGCTATCGAGTATAGATATCAATTTCAGGAAGAAAAGGGAGATGGCAAAGAATAGTCCAAACTGTGTAACGTCATTCCAACAAAATCAGAGTACCATCCTGAGGCCAGTAAATTATTTTTGAGAGACAGTTGTACAACATCTAAAAACACTGACAAATATGGCCGACTCTTCTACCCATAGTGCATTGCAAATCATCTGACTCAGCGGATTGACCCCCTAGGAAGAAAATAATGAGCATAGTAAGAAAAAAAAACACTTTTTGAAATAAATTTATTCTCCTTATTACATTAAATATCTCTTGATTGTGTAAATTGTATTTCATTGTTTTTATTAAAATTTTAATAATATGCACAGGTTGCATGCACTTATGTGTTTGAATAGTTTTTACTTATGATTCATTTTTTCTCTGGCTCCAAGAACTGACGTAATCACTTCAAAGGTATGAGAAGACAATGTGAATAAATTTATTCTTTGGATTCGTAACTTAAAAACGTATCATATATAAAAACACTGTTGATTTGTCTTGTTTAGCTTCATGCTAGAATATTATGTTTTTGTTTTTGTTTTGTTTTGTTTTGTGTTTTTTTCGAATGTAAATCAAAATCTGAATTTCGGGAAAGTTTACACGTGTATTCAGCGAATGAAGCGATCCCGATTGTTTTGGTCGTACATTCTAGAGTATTTTGGCGAATAACTAAAAGGTTGTTTAAACAGTAACACGGTCAGAAAATAAAACTCTGGCATTTATATACCTGCTCGATTTTTATATCAGTCATATTTTACGTTAGTATGAGGGTCAAACTATATATTTTTATTTTTATCAAATATGCCAACATCTTTTCCCTGCAATACTTTGCATACATTTTTTTCTCTGTGTCTAGCTCGCGTTTGTTAAAACAAATCATATGGCCACCTCCTACCCCTTCCAGAGAGAAATACAGGTGAACGTTCTCTGGCAATTTCCCGATAACTTCCTCTTTTAGTACAGTGCGCCCTCGTGTGACAGGTACGTAATAATTTTCGTTTACATGAATTTTTAACATTCCAGCAGCGGTCTCAATCTGAATAAAAAGGCATTAATAACAAAAGTAATAAAAATAAAATTAAAATAAGTTTCTAGCCAAAATAATTAAAGCCCGTACACTACATCAGATTTTAATCAGATTGCAGCGGTCTCTAAGCGAGGGAAATTTGAATAACTTATTTGAATTTAAATTTAAAATTTTAAGATAAAATGTATGAAGTTAAAAAAATACAGATTAATCAGATTAAGCAAGTAGTCACAACAGACTGATGTCTCACTTTTATTTACGGATTTTGGTTCAACTTACCAGAATATATAACAATAATACCAATCTGATTAATTTTTTTTTTATTTAAGATATGACCGCTTTTAATAGACGTCGCCGGTGTTTGCCCTTCGATGTATATGCCTCTTACGTAGTTATAGACGTGTACACCAGCAGCCATAGACCGGTGATCACAGGGTCGCGATTGGAACAATATCAATTAAATTACATGCAAAACGACCAATATATAAGTTGGTGTTACTATCCTATGTGAAATATTATAGTGTTTCAAGTGTGTGTTAGTTGTGAAAAAGTACCATCGCTGTACTCTATGCGTGGTTTCACAGGGACGGCTGATGCCGGATATGTTCAGTTCGGAGAACGCATATTTACAACGACGTCGTTGCCACTTTGCATTGTGGGACAAAGTCGCCATGAGTATAAGTATTTGAATTGGAAGTCGGGTTTAAGTTAAAAATATCTTATGATGTAGATATATTTCATAGAAAGGCAATGTGTATCTACAAATCCTTATTGTGCCATGTTTTAACACCGTTTTACATGTAATACTTGAGCGCATCATGCGTTGAGTGCGTCCCCGGCGCTTTTGCGTACAATGGTATGTGCCGTCTCCTAGGAAACCATAGTTCTTCGCGCAAATAAAGAAAAAGTTCCACGGAGTACGCGCTACTGTTTAGTGTATTGCCGGCGACTATCGGAGGCGTTAATGAACTAAACTCCGACAGTATTATAGAATTTGCTCTTTCTACAGATCAACAAAATGATGTTCGGCGGCAGAAAAGTTCATAAAATATCGAATTTCGTGCACAACGATGAAATATGGTAAGTACAGTCAATGTATTTTTCTAGCAGATCAAACAAACTGAGTCGTGTTTGTGTTTATCGACAGCAAAATGTCAACGAATAATACTGAAATATTAAGATCATGAGAATGAACTGAAAAAAATAATTTACGAGAAAAATACGACATTGGTGAAATTAGGTTATGTTTCGCTTATATCAACTTGAACAACGAAAAACACCGGACCATGACGGCTAATGGTTGGACACTGGAAAACCCAGAAAATACGTAAACCCTCAGTATACGGTTACCATAGAGATGGTGAACTCCCACGAAATCGTTAGATTGACAGACTGTGTGGAAAGTCAAGTACACCGCAGCCCGGCTACTAGTATTTCAGATATTGTACACATAAGTCGCGGACCGCCATCCTATACCGAATACATTATATGTGGTTACTAACGAGTTCTTTTAGAGCAATAACAAGCTGTGAGATATATATGCATCGCCGACGAACACCACCTGTTCGTTTCTTTCACAAAGCACTTAATTCAATATTTACGGAAACACGGACAAAGTCACCTATGTAGATTTATGTTGTAATATCCCATATATTTAATTATTCTCATTATATTCAAAGCAGCAATATAATAGTAAAATATTAATATTATGCACACATTTGCGACCCCCTTGAACTTTTAGCATATTTTCAATCTGCTAAATTTCCACTATGTTTGATTGTTGTTATTTTCAGTTACACTAACACTTGGAATGCATGCTGTATTATGCAATTATTTGATTCGGCTCAGGTGTCTTTATTTTCAGGCATATTTTGCCATTCCATCATCTTCACATTTCGAAATTACCCCCAGGATACTAATATAGTAAAATCATTTAATGTTTATCATGATACACCGGATATGACATTATTTTCGAACATCCGGAGTAAACATGGTGGAGTGAATACGCCAAAGTGAAGTAGAATGGAATCACCGCTTGTTTACTTTCCCATGCACTTGTTCAATCTGTCGATAGTGGCGTTCACGTTAGAGATCTCGTCACGTGTCGATACTCGAGACCGAGTCGGCACATGCCGAAAACAACTCGATCTCGGCCCCGATAGATGCTCGGTACCGAAACTCGGCATGTGCCGAGATTTGCTGTCTGACCGCTCGGCACGAACCGAAATCACGCCTTCGGTGGTGAATCTAAGAGAACTTATACTGATTCAAGTTCATACTACATACTGTACTCTAAAGTGATTAATTATTTACTGGGTTTTAATTTGGCTTATTTCGCTGACTGAAAAATGCGCTAAATTAAAACCCAGCGAATATGTAAAATGGAGCATAGAACACATTTTTAATTTATCTAAATGATAAAGCCATGAATTTAAAACCTACTGAATATGCCTGAAATGCTAAATCAGTGAAATTTAAACCCAGTAAAAAGTAGTCATTTTACAGTATATGGTGGGATGCTGTAGAAATGAATGTAAACCGTCGTCAGCGACGCATATTTATTTGACGTGAATAAATATTAATCTTCTTTGACGTTTATATGCACGATGACTGGTAATAAATACAATAACAGCAAATAGGTATAACAATTATTATTATCATCATAAGCGTATCGTTTTCCATGTTTGTGTCAAATAGCAGATCGACGAATGAGGGCGTGATTTCGGCACGAGACGAGTGCGTCCCAATTGGGTCCCGACTTACGTAAACCATGGTAGGTCCGCTGCATGCGTGAACGCCACTGCTGTAATTCCTCTGCAAACACAAAGGATTACAAATTCCCATATGTGAACGTAGCGATTGACTACGATGGGACATGTATACATGCAACCTTTTTGGGTCATTTTCACTGTGTCATAGTAACGGAGCATTGGATTGGTTGAACTTGGTTAAGAATAATGGAAAAACCTGCGAAATTGATCAGGTGGGCGAAAAGTTTGCATTTTGATTAATATGAAATTTGACATATTTTACAGGAAAGATCACGTGAATTATGAATTGCAGTCGTTACGGAAATGGCCTGACAAATGGGGATTTTTAACTCATGAGTACAACAGAATGCATCGCCGACTGATTGGTGAGACACTGACTCCAGATTTGGCATCTATCGATTCAAGAGCAACGCCCCGTAAAGACTGCGGATTGAAGTTACCGGCAATTCAAGCAAGGTGAGAAAACACAATAAATAGAAAATAAATGTAGTCATCACGATTTTATCATCGGTAACAAACATACGGGGATTTTAGTGATCAATTGCGCGATATATTAGTTCCCCGGGTCGATAGAATATCAGTTGATTCAGATGTAAAAAAGGGGTCGTTACAGAGTACAGAGAGGGTCCTACGGAAATGGTTCTCTACAGAGAGAGTCTCACAATAAGAGGGTCCTACACATATGAGCGTATAATTGTTTTTAAATTTATCCGTGTGCTCGCAGCTAATAGCAACATGAACCAGAAATGAGACCAGATCATAAGTATCTGTTCTTTTGCATTTTGTCGGAGCAAATATTGATGGATTCCGCCATTTCCTGTAATTCCGGGGGCACTCGTGTCAATCCTGGTAAAAGAAACATACATTTTTGACCAAGCAAATTTCGCAATTTGCCACCGTGTCCCATTCAATATTCAACCGAACTTCATGTATTTAAGTAATACATTAGCCACATTTTGTCAAAACCAAATTCTACATGGGATCTATGTGAGCTTATATCACCAGTTCAACATTATTTAATCCACCTTTCTGTTATTTTATCTGCAGACCAAACCAGGGGAAACAAATGAAAGTAGAATTAGTCAAACAGAAGAGTACTCAAACAGGAAGACCTATGCTGAGTGCCCAGTTTCCAAGGACAACGGCGGAAGAGATTGGATGGAAATCCGCTATGGCTGACTACCAGCTTGAAATGTACGGACGATATCTCACACCGAAGGCTAGAGGGCAGCAGGGTATTCGAAAAATGTTGAACTGGCCGTACCAGGGACTATATTGATCAAAACATTGTACTGATTAGATTAAACACGTTTGAGAAAACATATTTTGAGATAAGTTCTATACATATTTATTATTTCAACAATAATAGTTGCTGGTGAACAACCGACAACTGCATAGCTGTTCTTTAGATTAATATTGAGGATAGTAAAATAATAATTGTTAGTATCGTAACACACAATGGTCTTCCCCGAAATGTTTTCTAATGTGTTTGTGGGATAATTGTGGGTCATTATTGACATTGTGTCAGATAACAAATATAAACAATGGTACACACTGATACAGTCACATGACATCACGGTACAAAGAAGTTGTGTATCATAGCATGGAGGTAATTACCGGTATTACCTCGATAATCATAGCATGGAACTACACATGTGGTTTGTAGTTCCATGATCATAATAACTCACAACACAAATTCACAGTGGGATATGAACAAAATCTTCAAGAAAAAAACACATACTGAAAACGGACTGCTATGGTAATGGTATTAGATCATTCCCATAATTGGTTATTCTCTCAAACTGCCATTGGATTGTTGTCAAGATGGGGTGTGATATTGAAAACATCAACAGCCTCACAATGACAAATGCTGGAGAGTCTGTTATATATCACCGAGTACAATCCCATGACACCAACCTACTTGTACAATCCCATGACCCCAGCCTACTAGTACAATCCAATGACACCAGCCTACTGGTACAATCTCATGACACCAGCCTACTAATACAATTCAATGACACAAACCTACTAATACAATTCAATGACACAAACCTACTGGTACAATCCAATGACACCAGCCTACTGGTACAATCTCATGACACCAGCCTACTAATACAATTCAATGACACAAGCCTACTGGTACAATCCAATGACACCAGCCTACTAGTACAATCCAATGCCACCAGCCTACTAATACAATTCAATGACACCAGCCTACTAGTACAATACAATGACACCAGCCTACTAGTACAATCCAATGACACAAGCCTACTAGTACAATACAATGACACCAGCCTACTAGTACAATCCAATGACACAAGCCTACTAGTACAATCCAATGACACCAGCCAACTAGTACAATCCAATGACATCAGCCTACTAGTACAATCCAATGACACAAGCCTACTAGTACAATCCAATGACACCAGCCTACTAGTACAATACAAT